CATATAAATTTACATAATTTACAAGCAGCACTTACTCCTTTACAAAAAAATTGGATTGTTATTCAAAACTAGGTTCCATTTTGCCTGAAAATGTTTTAAACACATCTTGATCCTTCCATCAATTGATTTGCAGTACAGACTATGGGCAGCTTAATATTTGTCTTTTTTTCAGGGATCTAAAGGACACTTTGGAACTTATCAATCAATCATTCATGGTGTGGCAAGTGCGAGGGAAGGAAATTTAAAAAAACTCCGAGCTCAGTTATATCCAAAGCCAATGCCAAAGTTTGGGCCCAAATTAGCCAGACGGTAAATCATGTTGAATAATTTTATATTTACATAATTTCTGGCAACTCACTGAAAAGTGAAATGTTCTCTTGTCAGGCAGTAATGCCACTTGTATTTTTCTTTGTAGAGGTTTCATTTCATTCAGCCGTGAGGTCCAGAAGTGGTGCATTCCTTTTATGGGAGCTGATCCATCTGTTGTTAGAAGATCCCAGCGGCACAGTGTTGAAGTTCGGAATAAAAAGCCAGTTCAGTATGGAGCGTATGTCACCATGCCACTGATCATCATTCTGCTTTTCATGTTCTTTGGCATCTTCTTTTTCCTGCTGTGTCAGTTTAAAAGGGGGAGAAAGTTGTTAGAAAGGGTATTTTAAGTTAATTGTTTTTTGTTGTCTTCTCACTCTGCCTGAAGATGTGCATTTCCAGAAAATATCCATACCCACCCCAAGGAAGGTTAACAGAAATTCCAAGGGGGAGGGGGGTTTCAAAAGCCAAATGTTTCAAAGGAAAGTATGACACTAAAATGGAATTTCTGGAGGGGTGGTGGTTTCAAGCTAAAAAACCTTCCGTGGGAGGGGTATGGATATTTTCTGGAACAACATGATATATAAATGTGCAATCCATGTAATGTAGCACCAAACAAGTGTCAGTGCTAAATTTGCAAAACCTTGCGACCATGTTCTTTTGTGTTGTAAGGATTTTTTTATTGTGCAGTTCCAGAAAATATCCATTCTCACACCATGCAAAATCTTTGGATATTGTGGAAGGGTTGGGGACAAGAGCCATGAAAAAAAAGTTTCTGAAGAGTGTGTGTGTGTTGGGGGGCATAAATAATATATTCAAGAAAATTACATTTTAAATCAATTTTAAAATTATGTGACTGTACATAATACTATACAATTGATTTCATTGATAGTCTTTTACATGGATTTCAAGAACTAACAGTGTTTTTGCCCTAATTTCTCTCATAGTACCCCCAGTTCTTTTCTGGTGGTTTCTTTAGTCATGAAGGACCTACTAGAGAACAGGTAAATGGGTGATTTTATTTTTTTCATAATCTTGACCATGAAGTTGATCTGAATGAAGTCACAACCAGGGCTCATTATTCTCAGTGGTACCTTTTATTGCACGACCCAAATGAGAGATATTCAGCTTTTTGGCAGTGTGTGTTCTGTAGAATCCCCTGTACACGTACTAAACAATAATATTATTGGATGAGGTTTCTGTGATATCCAGGATAATCAAGGTCAAGGTAGGGGTGGGTAAGGGTTCAATTTGCTCAGTGTCCAGCGCTTAATGAAACCCTTGCTTTATTGTCAGAGCCATGAGTGTTAGTCCAGTCCAGCAATTCAAAACCTGGACTTGTCTGACTTCCTGTGCTACAGGCACATTTACAGCACATTTACAGCACATCCAACGACAGCATAATCAAATTTGTTGATTCATTTTCACAGATGGCAGAGTCATCATTCTCTTTTTCATTTCATGGAGCTGGATACAGCCAGAAAGCTCTGCAATCTGGGTAGGATGTTTTTTATGTTGTACATGTGTATGTTATTCTCTCTCTTGGCTTGTGGCTGCACAAATTTCAGACCTATGTAGTCACTCAGCTAAGTACACTACAGCACTTCCCTGCATGGTTTACAGTTGTGCAAAATTTGATTTCAGGACTCTTCCTTCTGAACTCGATGGTCAGATAGAAACCAAAGTTGTAGGACCTGGTGAGTTAAAATCTGGTAACTCATAATGGATCAGTCAACACATGTACATATATATATGACTGTATAGTACATGTTTTAAGAATTTTGTTATCTATTTTCTCAGTCTGTATGCCAAACAGATTTCTGGACCTCCTACTTATTGTGAAATAAAACGTGTGTAAGTTGTAAAGAGTAATTACGGGAAAACACTCATCTTGTTTTTTTGGAATGTGATTGAACGTTGACTGTCTTTGTCTCATGACAGTCAAGGCTGTAAATGGAGAGGGGGCATGTGGTCAGGGTGTGGTGTGGCTCAATATTCTTGGCATTTTTACCTTTTCCAAACTTGATTTTTTTTCATGAAGTATCTCTAAGAGAATGCAGAAAACAGCATTTCAGAGCCTCCCAGTCTTTACTTTTCATGAATGTTTAATCACAGCCAGTTTCTAATTCCTGAAATTTTTTTGGTGGGGTCATACAGGTAGATTTTGAGAAAGACGTCATTAAACCTGCTTATGCCCAGTCTCTCCTTAGGCACTCAGTTGTTCATTATGGCCATTTATTTATTCTAAATTATTTCTAGCTTTTTCCAGCTTTATTCTCAATTACTTCCAGCTTTTTCCAGCTTAATTCTCAATTATTTCCAGCTTTTTTCAGCTTAATTCTCAATTATTTCCAGCTTTTTCCAGCTTTATTCTCGGTTATTTCCAGCTTTTTCCAGCTTTATTCTCGGTTATTTCCAGCTTTTTCCAGCTTTATTCTCAATTATTTCCAACTTTTTCCAGCTTAATTCTCAATTATTTCCAGCTTTTTCTAGCTTAATTCTCAATTATTTCCAGCTTTTTCCAGCTTTATTCTCAATTATTTCCAGCTTTTTCCAGCTTTATTCTCAATTATTCCCAGCTTTTTCCAGTTTTATTCTCAATTATTTCCAGCTTTTTCCAGCTTAATTCTCGGTTATTTCCAGCTTTTTCCAGCTTTATTCTCGATTATTCCCAGCTTTTTGCAGCTTTATTCTCAATTATTTCTGACCAGCTTTTTTCAGGCTTTATTCTCAGTTATTCCCAGGTTTTCCAAGCTTTATGCTCAGTTATTCTCAGGTTCTCCAAGCTTTGTTCTCACTTATTCCCAGCTTTTCCAAGCTTTATTCTAAGTCATTCCTAGGATTTCAAAGCTTTATTCTCACTTATTCCCAGCTTTTGCAAGCTTTATTCTCACTTATTTCCAGGTTTTCCAAGCTTTATTCTCAGTTATTCCCCGTGTGTCCAAGCTTTATCCTCAGTTATTTCCCCCGTTTCCAGAATTTCATTTTCAGTTTTTCCCAGTTTTTCAAAGCTTTATCCTCAGTCATTCTCAGGTTTTCCAAGCTTTATTCTTAATTATTTTCTACTTTCTGAGCTTTTAAAAACTTTTTTTTGAGTTATTCTCAGCTTTTCCGAATGATTTTTTGACATTGTAATGTTTTCGTCCCCTCAGAGGCAGGGTATGTGGCCACGCCTATCTGCATGGTGCAGGCTGCATTGGTGATCCTGGAAGAGACGTTGCCAAACAGGTAATTAAATCTAGTCGATGTTGTTTTACCAAGTAAAAGCGATCATCTTTTAAATCAATGCAAGTGAGTGCTATTGTAAAAGATTGTGCCCATACAAAAGCGTATATTGCAGTTATTGATATATGGTGGAGTGCAGAAAGTAAGACTAGATCGCTGTTTTCTAGTTCAGTAGTTATGCGATTCTTTTGCCTTTTCTCTCGGCGTATTCGTATCTTTTAAGTAGGAAAAACAAAAAGTGTTTGTTTAGTTTTCGTACGAAAATGGGGTGTTTTGTTCCGTTCACTTCTTGTTTTTGAAATTACATTTGACTTTTCCCTGGTAACTATCCTGGTTCCAGAAGTTTTCTCTTCTCTGTTTTTGAATCAAATGTAACCTGCGTAATGGCGAAAACGAGCCGGACGCTGTAGTAGCAGAGAGAAGAAAGAAAACCTCTGGAACCGGGGTACTTGGTATAATGTCGTCTCTTACGAAAACCTCAATCTCATTCGATTCTGAAGGAAAGATTTGTGATTTCACTGAATCAGTGAAGTACAGGGCGAATATTACCTGTCGTGTTCAATTCATTATACCTCAATTTCAGTGGCGGCGTTCTGACTCCAGCCGCAGCCTTCACTGGCACGTCTTTGATTGATCGACTCAATGAACATGGCGTCAAATTCACGGTGGAACGCTGCGAAGTCGAAGAGTAAGGCGACTTGCCCGGTGGTCACTCTCGCAAGAGAAAATAGCGAGAGGAAGGGAAGAAAATACGAGAACAATTGTGATGCCGAATGGCGTCCAGACATACTACCTTGACTGTTAGTAGCAATTAAAATTAAGCAGATGGTGTAATATTGTGATATGAATGTCAGAATCGACTGGATCCTATTGGGAACCAAAAAATAAATTTTGATCATGGTAACGAGAACACTTAACACAATAATGAAAAAGTTAAATGGCATGCAAACCTCCAAGAGTGATTCAGTAATATCAGGATTAGACAGGATTGGCAGTAATTCTGTAGAAGTTTTATATTTTTGGTTTACTTTTTAACATTGAGAGCACGATATGCTCCACGAAGGTAGACAACTTAAGCTTTTGGCTTGATACAGTATATTTTCTGTTGTTTGTTTATTTTACACATTTTGATTACTTACTAACTTTTACCAAGTGCAGGTCGAGTGATAAAGAAATTATAAATAACAATTAAAAAAACATACAGCGCTTCAATTAACCATTGAAATACATTATTAAGCACGATGACATAATTGTGGAAACATATAATTTATATATTATGATAATAAAATTATTCATTGGGTAATTATTATTAAATTGTTACCGTTCTGTCTACATTTTGCCCTGTCCTATAGCTGTCCATGTGACCACAGTGTCAAATGTTAAAATTGTTATCAGCGTTGAGAGCCTGTTTTATTTATTTATTTATTTATTTATTTATTTTCTACAGCGACGCAAGCATAAGCTTAAACGCAAGAAGGCATAGAAACACCGAGAAACACAAAATGCAAGTCTGAAAATCGAAAAATTCTGATCTCTCGCGCGCTTATGCTTGCGCCTCCATGCTAAAATGATAAAAAAAGATAAAACAACATTTATTATAAAACTGTTTTATTCGCCACCGAAAAACCTTTCCGTGGTTATTTAAACTATTCCAAGAAAATGCCTTTAAAACCTTAATTAACCTTAACCTGGCTTTTTTTCTTTAACAACACGTTCATAATCTCTCTTCGTGTTAAGGCCCTTGTCCTCGTTTTATTGGAGAATGTTTATCGTTCCATGTTCGCAAATCATCCCAGTTTTTTCCAATGACATTTATCCAGTTATTTACAATCCACTTGTGACCCTTCATGACGTCACATCCCCCGTGGTAGGACATGAGGTCGAGATCCGACAACCAGCCAGTTGATTTATCTATCACGTGATTATACCACATAATCGCGGTGCCTCGTTTTGGTTTAACCCTCAGGTTAGCTTTAGAGCAATACGCGCTCAGATTGGAGATGTAATTGGATTTCCTTGTCCATGACTATCAAAATAAAAGGAAATGAAGAACAAGAAAACATAAGCGTGGGGAAAAGCAGAGTTTAAATTTATGAACCAATTAAAGAACTAACTGCGATGGTTTTCATGTGCCAAGTACCCAGCCTTCTGTCTCTTTGCAAGACTACGGGAAGCTTGGGATATTCAATGACGCTACCACTCAATGGAGCTTCCCTAAGTAACACACCTAAATTTTTGTTACGTGTGAGTTAAACATGCAAACCTGTTGCTTGAATGTGGCATCATCGGCGATTGGAAAAGCTGTGTGTCCACCTTCGTCGACATCATTGAGAAAGTACAAAATAGTTATGTACCTATAAAATAAAGGGAAATAGTTTTTGCTACCATTTCTTAGATTTATGTTTCTCAAGGATAGTTCAAAACCAGTTGTCCAAGAGAATTTCTTTTCCGTTTGCTTATGTAATTTACGTTATGTGCGTTTAAGCAAGTATGAGTTGTCTTGCCCAACTGACCTGCAGACACGGCAATTATCCAATGAGCGGCGATCACAGCAAGAATCCTTGGTGTTAACAGAGTGCGAGTCGTAATGGCAGTGATAGTGACCGTCGGGACCGTATCTTACAGCCTACAACAGATATCCACAAACAGCGCTTAAAAGTGCCCTCCATTACTCGGAAATCTCTGATGTAGTAATCACATATAAGTACACATACCACTGGAGTTTCACTGCCTCTTATTACTTCTATTGGAAGACCTGTCAGAGCAGCTTTTCTGCGAGAAAAGGAGATTAGGTTCCAAGAGTGAACCTCTTGCACTGGTGGTTCGATGTTTAGCCCTTAATCTCTTAGCTGGGAAATTGCTAACGATTAAGAGAAAAGAACGCTATGATATGTTGACAGTTTGAAATGCAAGGCTAAAAATACGGAAATAAAATAGGGCAAATTTAATGGTCAATATTTCGAGAAGCAGAGCTACGATCATGGACAAATTGTGTTGGAAAATGCGCAAAAACATCATGAAATCATAACCGTAATTCCTACAGAATAAGTGTCAGCACCCCCATACCCCCTTTCAATGTTGGAAAGTGGTACAATGCAGATTTGCTTTAGAAAGTGTTTTGTCAACATTGCACAGGAGTAGGGAGGGGCAAGATGAGTATAGAATGAATTTTTCCAACCCTTGTGACCAAGGTTGTAGTATACTAAAGGGCAATTGCTACATTTTGGGTGTTGTTAAGTTGCTCTTGCCCTCTACTTCCTGTTGAAGACTGGCTTTGTTAGTCGAACTACTAGCTTTGCATTTCATTTTGTCTTATTTGTACTAATGCTTGGATCTGCTGACCCAGGAAGATGAGGAATACGAACAGAAGCCTTAGTCCATTTTTACGTTGTAAGACCCCACTGCATTTAAACGGTTGACTAAGATATTGAGATTGGAATGGTTTTTAAAAGCTACAATATTTGTAAGTCTTAAAATTCTACGCACTCACTTCATATCGAGTGTCACTGCCACTCTGTCATTTACAGGAAAATCAATGAACGTTTGGTTGCTATGGCGACCCTTGACCTTGGGGTCCAGTCCTCCTACTTCCTTAACATACTTCATGACATCAGCTGGTTGAAATTCACTTCGATGAATCATTCCTGGAGGAACAAATTTGTTGTTCAAGAAATTGCTTTTTGGCAGAACTTTCGCCCACCGCGAGAAAATTCAAAGCTTAGTTAAAACTGGAATAATGGAAAAAGTGAGATCCAGCGAGAACCAATTGGAAAGACCCGAGGTTAAGAATTTAGTACTTGATAGGTCATATAGGCTTGGGACTGAAGACTAAGGTTCATTTTGCAACTGATTCAACTCACCCGGCTTACGTTTGCCAACGTTCAACGATTTCAACCTGAAAAAGCGATTCGTGTTAGTTATTTAGTATAATTATAAATACAAGAAACAGAGTTCCAGCTTTCGTATTATTGTGCAAAATGCTACCAAATATACTAAGAAACTGAAAAAGAGACTATTTAGAGCCAAGTCGGATTACAGTTCTTCAAATTTCTCTTCATTTGGTACGGGGTGTCGAGAAGTCATAATTGGCATTCTGTTGAAATTTTGAACCTTTAGTCGCTATTTTAGTCATTTATTTTTTTGTTTTCACCACCTTTGGCGTGTTTTTTCCTTTAAAGCAAACCGGTTGTTCTTTTGAGTAGCGCGTAGCCATGCGTACTTACATCTTCTTTACATCGTTTGTTGTGAAATGTAGATCCCGGATGTAACGCATACCAGCAATGACCTGTAAGAGCGATTGATGAGAAATAAGGCGCTCTATCAAAGGTACCTGATGGTTAAACGTTAGCTAACGAGAATGGCTGCAAAAGAAGATGTATTTCCTGAATTTGGCGAGATGGAACCTACTTGCAATAAGTTATATAATTATTTACATCATATCATAGAAAATACAACCAATCCGAATACAGAAAAGCCGTTGTATATTCGACGGCACTACACCTCATCGTGCGTTGCGCGTATCGCGCATTGATTGTGCTGGCTACAACTAGCGCTCTTTCATGGTATACCATGAAATATCTAGCCTGCGAACGCAGACGTATTTCCGGCTGTCGCTTGTCTCCGCCGAGAAATAACTTCTGCGAACCCGAGCCAGGAAACGATTTCTGTGACGTAATGACTTTGTTTCTCCTTGGCCAATCAGATTCCATGATAGAATGAAACTCGAGTGCTCTTCGCAGTGAATACCTCGCGCAGTAGTTCTGGGGCTACTTGAGCTAAACTGTGATTGGCTTAAAATTCCTACGTCAGAGAAATGGTTTCCTGGCTCGGTTTCGCAGACGTTATTTTTCGGCGTTCGCAGGCTATGGAATATCCCACTTGACTCTTGTATTTTCTTAGTATACACACTCGCCTGAAGGCTGGTGCACCTGAAGGCAAGTGTATATCGAGAAAATATAAGTGATTCGTGGGATATTCCATGGTATACCACGAAAGAAAGTTGCATAACTAGTATATATACCTCGTCTATGTTTATTACGTCATCTCGATTGAGATCCCAGTATTCAAAAGAATTCTGGGACAGAAGGGTATCCATTGAATTATGAAATACGTCACTGTTCTCCAGTCTCCCACTTTCTGCGTATTCAAGAAGTCGTGTAGTTTCGGTCTCACTCAGGAAGTCAGGAATTTCTGAAAATAAGCAACGAGTATGTTTATTTGATATCCTTTGACATATTCTGTTGGGAAGTCGCTATTAAGTTGTGGTATCGATTCCAACAAGTTGCGTTGCGTACGCCATACGGTCTAAAGGAACGCAAAGAGCTAATGTTGGAATTCTTTTGGAGACTGACCTGTGCTTTACGTCAACGTCAAACTTGTGGCCATGGAAGAAAACGTGTCCCACGGAAGCGTAAATTCGAACGCGACAATACCGATTGGCATCATGGGTAGTAATAGTTTGGCGTTGCCTGATTGAGGTTCACATCGTTTCAGAAAGAACGAAAGGAACCGTCAATACACGTGTTCGTGCCTTTTCTTCTATCACATTGAAACGTAACACCTTGAGCTTGAATCAAGCGATCGTGAACCACCATTACCCACAATACCTTTCGACATTGTCGTGTACGCTTTTACGTGACAACCTGTGTCTCTGTATAGATGTAGACGAAATTTTTCTGGAAGACGCTGTATACCTACCAAATATGGGGGGTCTCACGCTCAATGTCTTAACCGTAAAAGGCTTCTCGTCCTTAGTAAGCTCGATTTGGCGAACATAGCCAACCTGATGCAACAAAATCATGATTGAATTCAAATAAGAAATAATCTCTTGATTCAAACTTATATTTGTTATTAAAGTTGAAACAAGGAATTAAATTGAAGCAGGAGCCGCTAGCCATGGTCAAATCCTGGTCGAATAATATGTTTTTAATCTCAGCTTGGAAAATATCAGCATTCTAAAACGAGAGGTTATCCTTTACCTTGACTGGTTCTAAACGTGGTAGTTTCGTCCTTCTGATAACACACGGTCCGGGTAGGTCGTCAAATTGTTTCTGTTCAGTTGAATAGCAGGCGACCAGAACAACGGTAAACGTCGTTAGAATAATACCAGGGCTCTTTGAATCCATTATGAAAATGATGTGGTTTTAAAAATGCATTTTGCGATCGCTCACTGTTATCAGGAAAGATAGGTTTCCAAAAGGAAATAAGAAAAAGCGCCGCGAAAGTTCATTCAAAGATTAACAATCTATGGACGCACGTGCTCGTTCATAGTTACGTAGCAGGTACCAGCCTTTAACGACAACAAGTAAATGGTCGTGGTTTTTGTTTTCATTTTTGTTTTATTCCACCTCGAACATCCTGTTATGTGCATCAAACAGATGTTTCATGATCCTGGAATTCGCCTGCATCGATGAGCTACAGCTAGTCAAAAGAAACTAAGCTTTCCCTTGGTCTTAATCTTTACTGCCATTTGAAATCCACGGGACGAGAATTCTAGAACTTAGAAAAGGAAGATTTTACATTTATTTCCACTTTTTCTACGCAATTCGAACAACACCAATTTTAAAAATTGCTACGGCAATAAAACTTTGCCTAACTTTATCAAGTTTGTCTAGTCTTTTTGTGATGTATCCCACCGTCCTCCGTAGTAGGTTAAGCAAGATTGTGGCGAGATGTTCATCCTCGGTATCCTGGTCATGGCTGATTCAGTAAATGTTGCATGTAAAAACTCGCTTATGTTACCAGGAAAATATGTATTTAGTACAAAACAAAGCAGAGAGAATATGACAAATTTGAAAAATAATCAACTGAAAGTAGGGAGGGGGGTGAGGGTTGGTAATACAATCGATCAAACGGAGGAGGATTAAATCGTTATTCTTTGTTTCCACATGACGTCGACCCCGTATGAGGCTCCCCTGACTTTTTATATTTATCTCCTGTAAGACCTCCAAAATATATATTTTCCTAGCAATTGCTGTTTTCCACCTTGACGAGTGTGAACTGATTCCTTTACAAAGTTGAAGAAATGCAGTTTTTTTCTTTTCTGCGAATCTGTTAATTTTATACGAATATCGAGCTCAAACTTTGCAAAATGTTGATATCATGTTAAGAATAAACCCATGGCTGTGATTTTGTTAAGAGCGTTTTCGGCGTGTACTTTCGTTTGGCAACAAAATATAATAACATCACGCGATTTTAAATTAACTTTATTTTATCACTGGAAAGAGCGCTAACGTCTTTCTTTTTTTATTCTAACAAAACTAACGTCTTTTAACAAACATATAAATCTAATATATATACAGATATATCCCGTTATCTTGTTGATATTGATTAATATTGATTAATTTTCTATAACATTTCAAATTGTTAAGTTCTTTTACAATGTAAAAGTAGTTTCGACGATGGCGTAACAATGAAATGCAGCATTGAGGATTAAGGATTCACAATTAACTGGCGCTCAAGACAAACTACACTGAACATGTACGAGAACTACAACCGTGATTGTAAAAGTAATGTGCTTTTTGGGGTTCAGCAAGGAATTAATACGGGGTCAGTGAGGGGAGGTGAATCAGAAAGTATATGCGCCCAGACCGTTTACAAATTATCAACATTTTTGTCAGAATTCATTCAGAAGCCCTACTAACATGACCTGGTATTTCTTCAAAACCACGGTTTAACTAATTTTGGATTTTCGTCGGGTGTTACTAGCCCTTGTTCACTTCTTCTTTCTATGTTTATTGCCAATTTTCAATTTTTGTTTATTGGAGAGTAATTTTATAAATTTTGAATCCGAACTTCACATCTTTTGGAGTTTAAATCCCTCTGCACCTTCTCACTCGCCTAACCCCACCCCTTTCCCATAATCGCTTCCAGAAAACGAGACCAGCAAAACAGCGTGGTCCCGAGGGGGTTAATTTCTTGTTTCACTACTGAAGTAAAAGTACACGAACATAATCTAAAACTATTGTTGAGTAGGAACTAATAAATCGGCTGATATAAGCTGATTGAGTAATTTGTCATATCGCCATGAGCAGACCTGCAAATAAGATAAAAAGAAAATAAATGCAAGGTAAAAAGGAAACTCTGCTACACAATCATGCCGGTCTGTGCTTTTTTTTTATGCAGCTATTATTTATACTACGCCTGAAAGATCTAGTCCTTAGGTAGACTCCAGTGAACTTCTGATAAAGTGCTTGACTGTATGTATATTGCTGTTTTAGCGAAACAGCCCTAAAGAAATTATCAAAAATTCTAATATGCTGTTGAAGTCATGTTCAAAATTCTTATGGGCTAAATTCTTCCGTTAACTTAGTCTTTTCAAGTTTCTTGCAGTAGATATCAAATTTTCCGTTCATTATTTCAGCAGTCTGCATACGAGCCAGGTGGCCCATCAGGCCGGAATTTATCCCGGTTTCTGTAGCATGAAGTGACTAGAAATATTTCTGCTCCCCCTTTGATGAGACGGCTAGTCCATCGAAAGGTTACCCCCAGCATTAAGTTAGCCGGTATTCTTTTATACACCTGGGTAGAGAGAGGCACTGTGAGAGTAAACTGTCTTGCCCAAAAACACAACGTAATGTCCCCTGCCAGGGCTCGAGCCCGGACCGGTCGATCCGAAGACGAGCGCACTAACCATGAGGCCACCGCGCCTATCACAAGCATCATAAAGGTTGCATATTATTTCCCCATGGGCAAATGTTCCAACCTATATCATCAATACAGATTGTTTTTCTTACCAAAGTAGTTAGGTTCCTGATCCCTCATTCCGTGGCGTGATCCTGGGATAAGGACATACAATACTGGCTTTGAACACCATCAGGAAAATACTTGTCCCAGTCATCTGGCAATACCGGTTCAACCAAATCACGCAAGTCTACCAGCTGTGCGATGTACTGCGAACACATATACAAGAAGTCAGTGAGTGTAGAATTTCCTGAAAAAAGTACAACTGCTTTCTCTTTTCTTGTACATTTTTTATCAAGCCAGCAACGCGCTAAAAGAAAGATTGTAAGCTTATATACGGGACAAGTGCATTGCGGGTCGGGTGTGATAAGAGTTTATTCCAGTCCAATTGTTCACGATGCTCTATGCCATTAAACATATGGTGGAGTTTACCTCATTAAACATAGCCCCATTGAATCCTTCTTGCAAAAGACAGCTAGGCCGCATGTTTCTGTGTAAATCTATGAGAGTAACTCATAATCAGTTTGTTTTGCACATAGACTTATCGATGTATTTACACAGAGAGTATTATATCATCTAAGACTGCAAATGGAAGACAGGTGGGATTTATCTTGGAAAATATATTTGGAATTTTAGTGAAGTAGTTAAACATGGAAATTTCACCAAGGAAGAAAAATGTAATTTTATTGCATCTCGAGCTCGGGGATATTAGAAACCATATTGGTATGTAGTTTGTGCCTGTTCTACCTACAAATGTCTCATTGATAAAGACGAAATGTTGATTAGTCCCGAGCATGGGACATCGAAAGAATCTGAGTCCCCGACAAGATGTCGAACCCTTGACCTCCCAGATATTGGTTGGACGCTCTATTGACTGAGCTACCAGAGATTCTTGGTCAGAGTTAGGCCATTTTACGAGGTCCATATGTGACATTCTTCAGTTTGAAACAAGAAAGGGCCTTCACCTCGCATTCATCTTACGTCACTTTAATTACCGTTCAGAGACATGGCATTTCTGTAGCAAAAGCGCCACTGCTGAGCTAGAAAAAGCCAACGACCGTGCCCTCCGTTTCGTTTTCAATGAAAAGGGAACGCCATCTTGCCAACTACTTAACAAAATTGGCTTATCGTCACTTCAAAATCAAGGTCTAGCAAAAAATAGTCTGTACGGTTTTTAAAGTCATTTTTAATGATCAAGCTCCAACATCCATCAAAAAACTGATAGACCTCAGAAAAAATAAATATGATCTGAGGGGAATGATGACGTCTTCAAACTGCCTCGGGCCAATACCACTAGCTATGGCCTGAAATCGTGGAGGTTTACAGCGCCAAAACTTTGGAACCCTCTGCCGGACGCTCAAAGAACTATTAAAACTTACAAGGCTTTTAAAATAGTATTAAAAAAAAAACTAGATTTGACAGGACTTACATAGTGCAATGTATGTAGTTAATTACTCTGTCGATTTATTAATTAATTTTACGTTTGTGCATATGTAAAGGAAGTTTTAACTGTTTTTTTTCAATATTTTAGCTTATTTTAGCTAATTTTTCTAATTCCATATTCATTTTACTTTAATATTTCTCTCCTAGTGATATACTGTAAACTAGCTTGTGAACTATTGTAGTGCACCACCATAGCTAAGTGTATAGTCACATTAAGCCAGTATTGTATTGTATTGTACTGTGTGGTATTGTATTGTGTTGTGTTGTGTTGTGTTGTGTTGTGTTGTGTTGTGTTGTGTTGTGTTGTGTTGTGTTGTGTTGTGTTGTGTTGTGTTGTGTTGTGTTGTGTTGTGTTGTGTTGTGTTGTATCGTATTTTGTATACACGCGTCTTGCATACTGCTAGGATCAGCAATGTCGAAATAGTCATGTGTCATCCCCTTTCTTTCCACGCTCATCCTCTTCTCTTTCTTTTTTTCCCCTTATTTCTTTCCCTTTCTTACCAAAACAGTTTGCTTCCTGATCACTCAGTCCATACCCATACTGGCTTTGAAACCCGTCAGGAGGATAGTTGTCCCAGCTGCATGGATCGTAATACTGAAAACACACAAAATGCCAAAAAATAAAACAAAGTAATATTTCTACTGCACATACATAATAGAATAATTGAAAGCCAAGATGTTCGCTCAGACAAAAATGGACTTTTAAGTATTAATTTTGAGAGATGAAAGACAACGGAGATGTGTGCATGGCGATAATTCGAAATGAAAAAGGCTAAATTCTGCTTTTGCAGAAGGAATGGAAAGCCTCATGTGTAAGGAATATATGAGCTCAGCTCTGATAAGCTTCACTCTGATCGCGAACAAAGGCACCTGAGAATCTAGTCATGGCTCGAATTTAACAATCACTCAGAACAAAAGAGTATGAAGAGCATCTCATATGAGCTTCAGTTTCAAGGCAATCGTTCTAAATTTAGCTTTAGATACGGCATCCATCGCGGATAATATCTTTTGCCGCAGTTCAAATATATAATCTTTCATCTTTCATAATCCGCGGTATCGCGGATAATGTTACCACGGAAGTCGTTTAGATGTTTTGGTTGACGATGAAAATGCGTGTAAATCTGCCTAGGCTGTCCACGTGGGCAAAATCCGCGTCACTGGATTGGCTATTCCCAAGTGACGAGGAAAGAAGAGAAACCTAATCCCCCATATTGGATTTATTCCTGAGACAATCCCTCTTGAAGTATTGTTAGATATGGTACCCAGTTTTTCTGTGGATAATGCATGTTACCATGAGCATTGCGTGGACGTTCTCGCGCACCCTCGGGCTGTCCAGTTCAACATAATCCACGTGATAAGAATGACTATTTCCTGATCTTCCTGGGAAGTCCGAAACCGGGAGTAGTCTAAATATAGCTTGAGAGGGATTTCCTTAGAGCAAATTAACTCTTCTAATTACCCTCTGTCCACTCCTCCTGTTAATTTATGTTCACCAATACCGAGCAAACAGCTATGCTAACTTGCAAAGATTTTAATGTTAATTCTAATACTAGCTTAGCGTCCTTAAGTCATGCACCTTTGCATTCAGCATGCCACCCACCATTCCCCATGGATCCATTGGGCCACGAAACACGCCCATTGCAGCGGGTTCGGCACTAGTGGAGTTGTTTGACTCTAGTGACTCCATTGATGACCTTCTTCTCATGTTTACTTTGGCAGGTGGACGTTTAAAGGAAGCATTGCGTTCTGGAAAGCAAGAAAAAAAAAAATGTTAAGAAGTTCGCGCAACCGGCGGTAACGCTAATTGTTTGTGGGTGTGGTTACTGATATCGAACATCATACATCGAACATGCGCACTAAATAATGAACTAACAGTTATATTCTAGTTCAAGAGACCACAGTTATAAGTAACTTTGCACGGATTTAACGATCACGGACGCTCGGTGAGCCCTATTTTCTCTGGACAGATCATTTTTTCCTCTTTTACTACGTTTTGCCAAAATATGAAAAAAACAACATGTATTCCATTTGAAAAATTTGCTCTACGTACCATCAAAACTTGTTCTTTTAAGCTGTTCGTTAAGCTGTGCGGCAGTTCCAAATGCAACTTTGAGGGTTGCGTTTTATGAAAAAGGGTCAATGGCAATGTTTAGAATCAACAGCCCAACAGATACTTATCTTCAATATTCTTTGAGTGAAACCCTGTGCTGAGGTACTTGAGCATTGTTTTAAGAAAAATAAAATAAGAGCATTTTTCCACACGCCTTATTTTTTTAATTTTTCATTTGCTCATTTGTACATGTAGTATGAATTTTTTTACATAGTTTTCGTTAAGAAAAAAAAATTTCGTATTAAGGAATTAAGTTTTGCGTAACTTGCTAGTAGTACCGGCTCACGCGATGGAAAAATAGCCAACAGTTTGCGTATCGATTTCCCGTTTCAAACCTAAATGAAGTGAACGAAATTAAGCTCCGCTCTGTTTGTTTTTGGAAAGTCAAATAGACATTGTTCGCAGTATGCTCGCAGTGGTAAGCTTGGCGAATGATCTACACGCTAGTCGAGCCGATATTTTCGTTCTGTTAATGATGATCTTAGCAATTTAGAGCTAAAACAGTAGTGATACAGCGTACGGAAAAATAAAAATAAAATTTCTCAAGGTATTAAAAGAAATTTTCAAGGCGGAAATAAATAAGTATGTAACACGCAGCGCAGTACATAGCATACCGTAAAATCCCACGGTATAGCCCTGGATTTATATAACTTCATAAGGGATTTTGGGTGGGCTTATAAACGGGGGTGGAAGGGGGGCGGGGTTGGGCTTATATCCGGGTGCATGTAAGCGAAGTAAAAAAACTGTTTCGGAAAGACGAGATAAAACGTATCTGAGAAACGAATTAAAGCTATCATAACATTACATTTAGAGTTATTAACCTATCACCCTATTAGCCCATAACTTGCGATTAAAAATTTTGACATTGGTAAAGAAACGCAAAAGGAACGCACTTACACATTAGATAAACTTATATCCGGGGGGTGTATATCCGGAATAATATCTTTGTTAGCAAATAGAGGGGCTTATATCCGAGGGGTGGGGGGGGGGGCTTATAAAATAACCGAGGGGACTTGCGCGTGGGATTTTACGGTAATCATTCAAGCGCAGTTTGGTCTTATTTGGTGGTGCTATAACGAGATGGCAAGAATGGAGTCACGTGAATTTTAGAGTGCTGCGGTTTGTTGGAAACGAGAAAAAACGTCAATCTTAAGGTTCGAAAGTTACTGGAGAAAAGACACGGAAGTGATAAGTTCTCTAGGCCACCAAATGTGATCCTCCTGAAAAACATTGAGCCTTACTGGGACAAAAGGCACGGGTTTGACGTGATTTCGAGGAAACCATTTCAATTTTGAGTCAGGAAGCCACTGCGAACAAAATGGAAATCACGCTTGTCAATGATCGACAGTGAACAAAAGAGTGAAACACGAAAGCGCAAATTTCAATTTCGACAGCCATTCATGCGATAGAATTATTAATTTTTCATAAGCTTTGATCTTCCTGTTTGCTGTCAGGTCTTAATTAAGCGTGACTCTTTATCGTGAGCGAAGAAACGAACATAAACCCAACGGGAAATATATATAGTGAATTTCCGATTTCAAAGAAAAAGCAAGAAACCGAAATCGAAAAAGAAGGCCTTCTTGTTAGTTGTTCGACTTCCACAGCAAGTCAAATGAAATTGAGTCAATTTCTGATCTCATCATTTATCTTGTAGCTAACTGTTCTTAAAGAAACAACTGGGTACATTCTTTACGCGAGATCTATTCTGCGAGCCTCTAGTCTCTTGTCACAAAATTCGAGGAAATATAAGATATGAAAACATGCTATATCATTTGGACGCCACCATGTCGCCCTTGCATTGTTATTTATTAAGCAATAGAAAACATTTTCCGTCTTTCTATTGAGTAAGTTATATTACCAAGAAACACAAGGGGAAGTTTGGAGGACGAGAAAATGCGGTGGAAACACGAGCCACAGGTGAATGTCTCCACAACGTTTACGAGTTCTCCCAAACCCAAAATATTTTCCATTTCTGTTAGAAAACACTGCGATGAAAACAAATGAGTCGTTCACCGTTCGATTATCAAAATATAAATGTGTTTACTTGCGCTATCATGACGTCAAACGCTCGTGGTAATGCGGCATTTCTATTTGGTTATAGAAGTACGGCTTTTAGCCTACGCTTTTGATTATTAAAAGGGTGTTTTCTAAATGGCTTCAGTTTGAAGCGTTTTTCATGAAAAGTCAGATGAAGGCGCATTTGCTTACTGTAATGTTTAGCCAAATGAACTCTGAGATTCATGAGTCAAACTATTTCCTGGAGCTTGCGTCGCGCACGTTCTCGGTCTTAGTTGCCTGCTTTTCATGCAGAAATAGTGCACATCCGCATGGAAGCTATTTCCCAGCAGCTAATAGTTCCACTTTTTCTTAAAGCCACATGTCCCGAAAGGGACGTGACCGCTGACGTTTCATGATAGAGAAATTCTCACAAGGGATTGAAATATTGATGGTAGAGGTTTTTCTCCGAAGTCAGGTTAGACTCAGGCAATATTGTTCAGTATCTGTCAACTCTCGTTTTCTCGAGCGGGAAATTCTAGCTCGAAATGACCATTAATTTTCCTTTCAGATTGCGATAGATCACGTTTTGAATAACGCAAAGGTTACAAGTTCTTTAACACTTCTACTCTTTCCTCTTCCCTCGTACTCTGCCGGAAGACGACTGTTTTTTTTTCGGGGAAGCATGAATTTGGTCAGCGGCGACAGACTGCTTTCTAATTTCCGTTTGTAAGAAGCTGGTCTGGACTGACCCAAAATTTCCCGGCTGCTCCCGAATTGGCGGCAATACATGGTTTGTTTAGTACAAAATGTGAGAAATCCCACGAGAAGCGGGCGTTGATTACGGGTTAACTAAAGATTTCCTCCGACAAGGATTAAAGCTTCAAGTCGGTATACCGAGTGAACAGGCCAACTTCAGAAAAAAGTAGGACTTGTGCAGTTTGATTACTGCAGGATCGTTCGGTATATATCGCCAGATTAAGTCATAGAGTTCTCTTAAGGTGTTTCTATTAATATATATTTTTTACTTCCTTGTTCTGGAGAGGCCGTGAACGAAACAAAACACCAACACCCCTGTTGCGTCTCAAATGCGGCTGTTTAAACTGTTTTTTTTACGCCTGTTGCGTCTCAAGTGCGGCTGTTTAAACGTTTTCAAAGGGCCACACAAACTTTGTTTTGCCAGAATGTCCCGTAAGATGTAAACACATGGCGGAGTGTTGTCAAATGCTCAAAGAAAGTGCGGCAAACTGGTAAAAGACTGTGTTCCTGTTGACACTGGCCCCTAGCCAGTTACCGGGAAATCACTAAGAACTAAAATGCAAACATAAACGACACAAGATAATTGCTTGTTACCCCACTTTNAATTCTTGCTGGATTAAAGCTAAATTTTCGTCCTCGAATCGAGGCAGAAATGATTACTTACCGAAGGATTTTTTTGTTTCTGAAAGAAATTAATCTACAAATCAATTCAACAAAGAATCATGCCTATAGCATTAGAAGACCGCGCACGATGAGCACATGGTCATTAAAAGAACTGCAGGTACACTTCGTATGCAAAATTGTTAATGATAGCTAACTATTGTCGTTGAACAGAGTAAAATGTAGAGACATGACACTCGCACTGTACCTTTCAGTTTCGGCTTGAACCTGAACGCTCTGTACGGTTTGCTTCCTTCTAAGCTTCCCAGCTCCTTGACTTCGACGATTTCTTGCATCTTCCGAAGAGCACAGCGAAACCTGGTCTTCCATGTGGAGGGATCGGGTTGGTCGCCTTGCCGGTATTTTCCGGTGTGTTGTGCCCAGCGTTTAAAGAGCTCCGCATGAGTTTCGAGGACGAACTCTGGTTTATCCACCCGCACCCAGGGAACTTTGAACAGTCCTTTCTCTCTGTCGATCCACTCCAAGCCATCAATACCTCCTCGGTTGATCTGCTCCTCTAACCACGGTGTAAAACGCTGTCGTTCCTTCGGCACCCTCGAAGAGCCTTGGCCGCGTTCGAAGAATCGATCTTCTGACGAAACTCGCATCTTCTTAGATAACATTTTTCGAGTCTTGCAGTTTCGTGCGATGAGTTATTTCCGAATAACAACTCAGATCAAGCTTTTCTAAACGGCTTTCGCTTTCCTGCTTGGAACTTTCACTGCGTACAGGCTGATTTATCACGCTAGATTTCTCTGCGTCGAGCTGTGAACTACAAGATTTGGAAGCTCAAGCGGACAAAGGTTTTTTTTGCTGAGTTGCCCTTTTAAGTTAACGCCCCTATCCTGGATAGACCACCTTACGAGATGCCTATGCTGTGATTGGACCGGGATGGGATCGAGGTAGCTATTAAAATACTCTGCCTATAATTAATTTCAGAATAACAACATCGACTTCCGCAGTAAGATAAATCTACTTTCGTGTCGAAGACTTGAATGCTTTACAAAATTTGGCATCATTCACTTAAAAAATACATTATCTCTCGCACGAAATCGTGCTGTCGTAAAGCGCTAACACTCTTATTTTGTTTCAATAGCCGTGAAAGGAAAGTGCTCTCTTGTCATTCTTTCAAGCTCTTAAATTCCAGGGGGCGACGCCGTGATGCTGTAGCGGGTTATTTCGCGATAACTGTTCTCCGTGTGCGCTTGTTTACCATCGAAACATAATCATGTTTGCCATTATAAAGGGAATCGATCGCACGCGCCTTTGTTGTGTTTAATAGATTTGCAGTTTTCAACATCATTAGCGAACCCACACATCAGGGTGAACTTTTGAACTGAAATCAAACTATGAAACCATCTTTTAATTGCCGCACTTTTCCCTAACTTGATGACAGATAAAACAATAACAAAAATAATATTAACGCGTGTCTGACTTGTCAAGAGAAAAGTCCGGATTCAAAACTGCGCACCCGTATTTGAAAGGGCTGTAAAACCCCGGGGGAAGTTTAAACCGCATTTATACCACCGCGGGGGAGTGTACCTCAGCAATTTGAAAACTCTACCTTACTTCAGTCCAAATCTTTTTTGACCTTACCTCTAAAATCTGTATCGTATATCAGACTTAATGAAATACGATTTACAACGAAGACGTGTTTGCATGAATTCGAATAATTTGTAGGTCTTGAAGTCCCCTTTAAATAGCACACCACCCCTATATATGTCATGGATAACCCTTCTCCCCCAACGTTCCCTCCCAACAATTCCCCCCCCCCTTCCTTCTTGCCCTCGTCCTTGCTACTCTTTCTTCTTTCTCCCCACCCCTAATGCTCTGCTAAGCCCAGATCAAGTTTCACTCTCCACTTCCCTTTAGAAAGCTAGAGTTCAATACCACTTGTCTAAGCCTGTTTCAACAAGATAATCACCTGTTCAGATGTAGGTTTAGGAATATTTCACGAAAAGCCGACGGCGTCTTGATAAATGAAATGTCACGGCGCCCATATTTCAGTTTGTTTCTAATTTTTCTCTTTCAATCACGTTATCCAGCCTACTCCTTCGTCAGTTTTCCGTCTGGTGATATCGAAAGCGAATTTTTGATGCACTAATCAAGGAAGGGATATTGGAACTTCGGAAGGCAACAATTAATTCTTTGGTCACCAGTTATTAAATAAAAATATCGAACAAACGTTATCGTGACGAAGAAAACATGCAACACTAATTTCACAATTTACGCTAATGGCATAATCCTGGATTAATTCAATAATGACCTTGCTTTCTACACGTGGATTTGTCGCTCATCTGTTCTGACTCAGATGTCATCGAAATTTTTCCCTCAGGCATAGATCTTCTGACATCAGGGAATGAATTTTCAGATATGTTAAAGATTATTTAGGGATTTGTGCCAAAAACCATATAATAGTTAACGTCAGTGCAAGAATCATAATACTTTTTGCCGTTGCATGGTACAATTTATGGCTCAAGATGTTCGTGCCTATTTGAGCTTTGATCACAACTTTAAGCTATAGTTACAGACGGGCAAATTATATATTAAAGCGCGAATTTTCTACGCCATCTCGATTTCACTGGTCTTTCCGCAGTTGCATTAGCATAAACCGTGACGTCATAACAGCAGTAGTTTGGCACGTGCTCTTGAGAGGCTCGCTGGACTCTGAGTTGAAAGGTCTGGGTTGGAGGACCGGCTGGGGTCATAGTGCTACTGTGTTCTTGGCCGGTAAGACACTTAACTCGCTCAGTCTCTCTNGGGGGGGGGGGGCTTATAAAATAACCGAGGGGACTTGCGCGTGGGATTTTACGGTAATCATTCAAGCGCAGTTTGGTCTTATTTGGTGGTGCTATAACGAGATGGCAAGAATGGAGTCACGTGAATTTTAGAGTGCTGCGGTTTGTTGGAAACGAGAAAAAACGTCAATCTTAAGGTTCGAAAGTTACTGGAGAAAAGACACGGAAGTGATAAGTTCTCTAGGCCACCAAATGTGATCCTCCTGAAAAACATTGAGCCTTACTGGGACAAAAGGCACGGGTTTGACGTGATTTCGAGGAAACCATTTCAATTTTGAGTCAGGAAGCCACTGCGAACAAAATGGAAATCACGCTTGTCAATGATCGACAGTGAACAAAAGAGTGAAACACGAAAGCGCAAATTTCAATTTCGACAGCCATTCATGCGATAGAATTATTAATTTTTCATAAGCTTTGATCTTCCTGTTTGCTGTCAGGTCTTAATTAAGCGTGACTCTTTATCGTGAGCGAAGAAACGAACATAAACCCAACGGGAAATATATATAGTGAATTTCCGATTTCAAAGAAAAAGCAAGAAACCGAAATCGAAAAAGAAGGCCTTCTTGTTAGTTGTTCGACTTCCACAGCAAGTCAAATGAAATTGAGTCAATTTCTGATCTCATCATTTATCTTGTAGCTAACTGTTCTTAAAGAAACAACTGGGTACATTCTTTACGCGAGATCTATTCTGCGAGCCTCTAGTCTCTTGTCACAAAATTCGAGGAAATATAAGATATGAAAACATGCTATATCATTTGGACGCCACCATGTCGCCCTTGCATTGTTATTTATTAAGCAATAGAAAACATTTTCCGTCTTTCTATTGAGTAAGTTATATTACCAAGAAACACAAGGGGAAGTTTGGAGGACGAGAAAATGCGGTGGAAACACGAGCCACAGGTGAATGTCTCCACAACGTTTACGAGTTCTCCCAAACCCAAAATATTTTCCATTTCTGTTAGAAAACACTGCGATGAAAACAAATGAGTCGTTCACCGTTCGATTATCAAAATATAAATGTGTTTACTTGCGCTATCATGACGTCAAACGCTCGTGGTAATGCGGCATTTCTATTTGGTTATAGAAGTACGGCTTTTAGCCTACGCTTTTGATTATTAAAAGGGTGTTTTCTAAATGGCTTCAGTTTGAAGCGTTTTTCATGAAAAGTCAGATGAAGGCGCATTTGCTTACTGTAATGTTTAGCCAAATGAACTCTGAGATTCATGAGTCAAACTATTTCCTGGAGCTTGCGTCGCGCACGTTCTCGGTCTTAGTTGCCTGCTTTTCATGCAGAAATAGTGCACATCCGCATGGAAGCTATTTCCCAGCAGCTAATAGTTCCACTTTTTCTTAAAGCCACATGTCCCGAAAGGGACGTGACCGCTGACGTTTCATGATAGAGAAATTCTCACAAGGGATTGAAATATTGATGGTAGAGGTTTTTCTCCGAAGTCAGGTTAGACTCAGGCAATATTGTTCAGTATCTGTCAACTCTCGTTTTCTCGAGCGGGAAATTCTAGCTCGAAATGACCATTAATTTTCCTTTCAGATTGCGATAGATCACGTTTTGAATAACGCAAAGGTTACAAGTTCTTTAACACTTCTACTCTTTCCTCTTCCCTCGTACTCTGCCGGAAGACGACTGTTTTTTTTTCGGGGAAGCATGAATTTGGTCAGCGGCGACAGACTGCTTTCTAATTTCCGTTTGTAAGAAGCTGGTCTGGACTGACCCAAAATTTCCCGGCTGCTCCCGAATTGGCGGCAATACATGGTTTGTTTAGTACAAAATGTGAGAAATCCCACGAGAAGCGGGCGTTGATTACGGGTTAACTAAAGATTTCCTCCGACAAGGATTAAAGCTTCAAGTCGGTATACCGAGTGAACAGGCCAACTTCAGAAAAAAGTAGGACTTGTGCAGTTTGATTACTGCAGGATCGTTCGGTATATATCGCCAGATTAAGTCATAGAGTTCTCTTAAGGTGTTTCTATTAATATATATTTTTTACTTCCTTGTTCTGGAGAGGCCGTGAACGAAACAAAACACCAACACCCCTGTTGCGTCTCAAATGCGGCTGTTTAAACTGTTTTTTTTACGCCTGTTGCGTCTCAAGTGCGGCTGTTTAAACGTTTTCAAAGGGCCACACAAACTTTGTTTTGCCAGAATGTCCCGTAAGATGTAAACACATGGCGGAGTGTTGTCAAATGCTCAAAGAAAGTGCGGCAAACTGGTAAAAGACTGTGTTCCTGTTGACACTGGCCCCTAGCCAGTTACCGGGAAATCACTAAGAACTAAAATGCAAACATAAACGACACAAGATAATTGCTTGTTACCCCACTTTCTGTAGGATACCAGAAAGGCTTTGTCTTAAGATCTTTCAAAAGTTACGATAAGTATTCAACGAACGAGTAAGAGCCCATTGGCCGTTGTTTTGAAATCAAGTGCGTGTTGCCTGAGCCCTTGAGGCCTGTAATTGTTCAAGACACACTAGAATATTGTTTTTTTCTTTTGATTTCAGTTTAACCGTCCGGACTTTTGATTTAGAGTCAGTTGCCGAAAAACGAGTTACCCCGCCTTTTGCAGAGTTTTTTTTTATAGATAAATATCTACAGCCGGTGATCCAAATGAGCAACCATTCTTAAACAAAACAAAAGCGGGCATGTAAGCTAGTACTTGTGGTATAGATAAACTCATCATCAAGACAAAGGTGTCTAGCGTGAGTAGAACACGTGTTGTAAGATAAAAGAATGGATGGAAAATGATGTCACCGTACCTATTGAAATAGTTTAAATTAAAGAATACATTCTACTACTTCCTGTAAACATTCCTGAGTAGTTCAATGAATTGAATTTCATGAAGGTTCCCTTGTGTTTCCTTGTGAAAGAGGAAGACCCGTCCACAACTAACTGGGAAAGAGATAATTATCACCGACATCTTTAAAAATTGTTAAGTCAAAGCGTGAAGCAGTTGTTGGGTGGCAGGGCGATAAGCGGTATCACAGCAATTATCTGTAAATGGCTAAAAGCGTTGAAATGTTGATACGCGTAGCGCAAAAAGTGAAAATCGGATTACAAACTTAATGTGTTAATCATATACACTAATGCTTTAAAGTTTGCGGGTAAGAGAATAACCCTTAATTCTAACGTTACTCACTATGTCTTAGTCATCACCAAGCGCGTGCCACGCGGAACAATTTCAATACTTGGAGATGCCGTGCTTGACATAAGGCCCTTAAAACCTGGCGCAGACTCAATATTTGTGATCGTTCTAGCACCCTGCTTGTTTTCAGATGAGTAAAGCGACCACATTGCTGCATTCCGTAAGCAGGTGAAAATCAAATTCCCCTGGTGTATATTTGTCACTTCCGGACTTTCGTCTAGCACTCGTGCCTAAGCGATTCTTTTCTCGTCTAACTTTCATCACGACAACAGTTTCCAATTTACAAGAATAACTTCGGCCTCTTTTACCGCCCAT